AGCGGGACCCAGAACAACGGCAACGTGACGCTGCCATTCAATTGGCACGCCGAGGCCTGCCTGGTAAGGCCATGCAACGGCTCAGTGGTGCCCCACTTGCGGAGCCCAGCCCAGCAGTACTTGCAGCCATGAGAAGCAAATTTCCAGGGAGGCCTCCGCACCAGGCCACGTCCTCCCGACCAGCAGCCCCACCTGCCAATGAAGCTGGCGTTGAGGATGTTGTCAGGGCCATTCGCAGCTTCCCCCGCGGCGCTGCTCCTGGCCCCACTGGTCTCCGCCCTGACCTGCTTCAGCAACTTGTGAGTGGCTCTGAGGAACGGCCGGCTGCACACCTGCTGACACAGCTGGTCAATTTGTTGGCTGACGGTCAGGCTCCTGCTGGGCTCCGCCCTTATGTTGGCGGTGGTCGTGGCACTGCCTTGCAGAAGGTCTCCAAGACTGGCACTGCCGATGTGCGGCCGCTGTGTGCTGGGGAGGCGCTCAGACGCCTTGTCGGGAAAGTGCTCCTGCGCTCCGAACTGCCTGCGCTGAGGGCCCACCTCTTGCCCCATCAGCTCGCAGTCGGGGTCAGCTCTGGGGCTGAGGCCATGGTTCATTTGCATCGACAATGGGTGCAGCGCCACAGCCATGACGCTGACCGCGTCTGCTTGTCCTATGACGAGGGGAATGCCCACAATGCGGTTGACCGCCACTGTTTTTTGACTCGCATGCGTGAGGTCGTTCCTGGTTTGGGTCGCTGGCTGGAATACATCTACCCCACGAACGTGGCCACCAAGGTGTTCTTCCACGACCAGATCATCGAGTCCGTTGCAGGAGGGCAGCAAGGATGTCCGCTCATGATGGCCTGCCATGCAGTTGTCCAACGGCTACTGCTGGAATCGCTGGGTCTTGTCCCGCCGCTGGAGGGCAGCAGCATTCAATTGCCTGTGCTGTCTCCTCCCGCCCGGCTTGACATTGCCCCATGTTTTGCTGACGATGGCTTGCTTGCTGGGCCCTCTGCAGAGGTCCTTCGTTGCCTGCGCCATTGGCAGGGCGTCTTGCCTCAGCTCGGGCTGCGGCTCTCCAGTGCCGTTGTTGCCCCTGCTGTTGCGCAGGCCCCCATTGACTACACTGGCTTCGTCACCCTTGGCTGCACTGTCGAAGCCCATGGCAACTATGAGGTCCTGCGCTCCCCCACCGGTGCAGATTCCTTTTGTGTGGCTTATTGCAAGGAGCGGGCTGCCAAACAGGTCGACATAGTTCGACGTGTTGGCCAACTGGAAGATCCGCAAGTTGGGTACTACTTGCTGCGCTTCTCTTGTGGCGCTGGCCGCATGACCTACATGGCCCGCACAACACCAGCACGGCTTTGTCGCGATGGCCTCCTTGCCTTTGACAGTGGCGTTCAAGCCTCTTTCACTGAGCTGACTGGCTTCCATCCCGACGCCCTGGCGTGGGAGCAAGCTACCCTCCCTGTGCAGCTTGGAGGCCTGGGATTGCGGCCCGCTGCCGGTATTGCCGATGCGGCGTACATTGGCTCTCGTGCAGCAACTTTCGAGCGTTGCAATGCTTTGTGGCCTTGTTTTCAATGGGATTCCAACCTTGGTAGCGACTTGTCTGTTGCCCTCCAACACTGCTGGGATCAGCTTCGCACTCCAGTATTGCCAGTACCTTTCCAATGGGACGACCACACCACGCTCACGCAAACCCATTTAAGCAGCCTTGTGAGCAAAACCCTGTTGGATGGATGGTACAGCCGGGCCGGCAGTGATGATGCCTGCCGCCTCCATGCCTACGCAGTCGATGGTTCCGCTGCTGCGCTAGGGCTCACACCTTCACACACACTTGACACCACTTTATCCAGATCCGATTTCCTTGCCATCCTCGGAGGTCGCCTGGGAGTCGATGTGTGTGGCGGTGGGCCTTGCCGCTTCTGCGGTAAACCTTCTGATTGCAAAGGCCGCCATGCTCTGAGCTGCATGGCTGGCGGCGACCATGTGGCCCTCCACAACAGTCTTCGCGATCTGGTGTTTGACTATTGCCAACGGGCTCAGGTCCGCCCAGTGCTTGAAGCCCCCGGGCTCCTGAATGGCCAGCGACGCCCTGCAGACGTCTTGGTGCGGTCCGCCACTGGTCTGGTGCCTCGCTTGCCTGACGGCGCGCAGCCCCACAACCCACCTCCATTGGCATTAGACATCGCTGTCGTGAATGCTTTGGGGGATACCCATTGGGACGCCACACGACAGGCGGCTGGAGCTGCCTGCTTGGCCTATGCTCAGCGCAAGCGGGCTCACAACAGGACTGCGGGCCTGTGTGAAGCTGCTGGGGTTCGCTATCTCCCCTTGGTCTGGGAGGCGCAAGGTGGGAGCACGCCTGAGACTCGGGCCTTTGTCCACCGCCTGTGCGGGGCAGTTGCTGTGGTCGAAGGGCTGGATCCCGGAGTGGTGAAGAGCCGGTTCAGTGACCAAGTTGCTGTCTTGCTGGCTCGCGCCAGCGGGCGGGCCATTCGTCGCCGGCAAGCTGTCGTGGGAGACAGAGCCGGCCTTCCCCTGGACCTTGGTGCAGCATTGGCTTTGGACCTATGATGCCATGAAGTTGCTGTTGATCTCACGGTTTGCCAGCATCTTCTTCTTCACCTGAGTGGGGGCTGCTTTTAGTTTCCGGACTGAAGTTTTTTCTTCTCCCAAGGAGATGTTTTTCCTCTTCCTTTTTTTGAGGCGCTGCCAGTGGCCATTCAGCCTGGCTCAATCAGGGCTTGGTTCCCCGCCACCGGCATTCGGGTCCTAGACCGTAGCTTTCGCAACCGCTGGCACATCACTTGGCTAGCCATCTGAACCTGTGTTTTTTTCTGTGGCCTTGTTTTGCCTGTGATGCATGGCTCAGCCACCCAGTTTTTGGTTGCGTCTGCATTCGGTCTGTGTCACTCTAGGAATGTCATAGGATGACCGCTTTTTGTAACTGTTTTTTTCCTTCTCAATGTTTCCTGACATTGTTGATGGCCGTACATTTATAATTTAATATATATGATAATAATATTGATATTATATATATTATATATAATTGTTCGACATTTTTCGCTTCGTTTGGTTTGTAATATGATTAATTAATTATTCTAGGAAATTATATATAATATATTTGTTTGTTAAATATACGGTAATTACATTTAAATATACGGATTTTTAAACATACAAACAGGTATTTACGACTACCTCCGGGCCTCCGGGAAAGTTTTTCTTGGCCCGCCCGGCCATTTAAACATACGGCATCCAAGTCATTTAAACATATTGTGACTCTATTTAAATACATAAATTGGTATTTCATACTACCTCCGCGGCCTCGCGGTCTGGCCCGCCCTCCACATATTTAAATGTCGTTACCGTATATATATATTGTTTTTAAGTGTATTCATTTTTTTGCCATTTCATGAAGAGGAGTATGTAGGAGTGGTTGGAGACTGACATAAATTTCAGTTTCCAGGATTGATCAAGGATACATGAGAAAATCTTGATTATAATTTTGGAATGATTTGAAGGGGGAATCAGGGGGAATCTGCTAATTTTGATGGATTCGTCAATGATCAATCCATTCAGTGATACATGTCTCCAAAAGGATGGAATAGTTGGCTTCTCTCAGCATTCCAATGATCATCCACACCGTCGCTTCAAAAATTGGGTTAGGACGCCCACCAAAGATCCCAAAGGTTAGATGTATTTCATTGTATTTCTTGCTTGCCTGTACTGTATGACAATGATCCAGGCGGTATTGCATGAGAAGCCACCGAAGGTAAGACTGTCCAGTCAAAAATCGCTTCATTTCCTTCGTCTGCATCCCTCCCGACGTTGCCGGAGGGCCGTCTGGTGGATTCAGCAATTGGTGCCGGGGGTTGGTACCACGCCGTCGAATGGGACTAACGCCCGAAGGCCTAAGATGAAGAAAAGAAAGAAATTATTCAAAATACAGAGGTCTCAATTTTCCAACGGCGCCTGGATCACATGAAGCAACAGCCTACTGACCACGAGTGTCAAGGCCAGCGGTTACAGTGGATCAGAATATTGGCATTGCATCCCAAAGCCTTGGCATCCCCAGTCTCTATGAACCAAGTCCACGGAAAGATGGGTAAACCAGTATGTTTTTTCCTGACAGTTGGCTTTTCGCAGGGTAGAATATCAATATATAACCATTTTAGATTCCTCCATGCGTGGCTGAGAAGTTGTCTGTCCATCATCCCTTGTTTTTCAGGAGCCGATGAGTTGGGGCACGATCTTGAGAAACGGCCCTGCCCCCACAGATGGTTTATATCCCCACTAGATCTCCGTGAAATAATAATATCCATAGCAACCCCACAAAAGTTAGAAAAATGGGACGCCTGGAAAATATATGAACATATAAGGGAACCACAATCTTTCCCATCCTGGAAACGCTGTTCTGTCTTGTTTGCAGGTCGCTGTAGTTTAATCCGAATACAAATATAAACCCTGCAATGTGAGGCCCCCAAGATATCTAAGTTGGTTTATAACTCCAATAACTTTGGTTTATGGTAGTTATATATATAGTTGCTGGGGCTTAAAAACAAACTTATAACCGGGGGGCCTCACATTGTAGTATATACTTTAGCGCAGCACTGTGATCGTCTTGGGGCCCGAACCAAAAAAATCTCTCTGATGGCGCCGTTCTGTGCTGAGTCCGAGGGCCGAATGACAGCTGAGTTCGGTGCGACGAGGTTTTTTTGCCAGCTGGAACTGGTGGATTGAGGAGTTGAAAAAACCATGTGTAACCATCAACATTTTGGAGGATATAGAAGTGAAATTAAGTGAAATAGTTTGATATATTGGTATTATACTGCATGGGACTAAGATCAAAATTCCAAGCATATGTATTTCTCTGTCTATGTGCGTGTGTGTGTGAACATTTGGAATCATTTAGAATTCATGATCTTACAGCTTCCTATATTTTTATATTGTTCTTAAATGCCTTGTTGTGGACATATGCAATGTCGTGATGTTAGGCTATTCAGGTCTTTGAAGAAAAACACGCTCATCCAAGGTAGACATCCCTTTCGCATCGTGAAACTCTTAAGATAGATCATGACAGGATCATTCCTGACAATGATATAGCTGTGCCTGGCCCTCTTCAACATCAACGTGTCAGACTGTCAATGTATTGCGAATCATGATCGATATGATGCAGCCTGAGAACAGTCGTAACCAACGTGGACCGAACACAAAGAAAAGCAGACATGACTGGCACCAGACATCCTCTCGAGCTCACTTGACAGCTGACGGGCTGCGGGCCGTTTGGTGAGACCAGCGGTGTCTTGGACAGCCGCCTGTTTCTCTGATAAGGGTGGAGCCGCCAGCCCGCGGGGATGCATTGGGTGGATTTCGAATGATGGAGGAATGTCAATGCGGCCCCCAAACCATTTGGATTCCATGGCCAGAAGTGCCCTCTGGTTATTTAACATAGCCATGGAAAATCCCTTATAAATGGAAGTTTCTAGCTGGGAAAATCATCTATAAATGGGCCATTTTCCATGGCTATGTTAAAAAACCAGAGGGTAATACAAAATCTGCCCCCGAAAAAAGAGCCACCAGCGAAAAATCCACATGGTCGATGTTTCAGGACCCATGCGCGGTGTCGCGCTTGCTCTGATCATGATCAACGCAGGGCTGGTACGTCTCCGTGCTGAGCCACCTGCAAGGGACATCGGCTGTGAGGACACAAGCTTCAGCAGTATAGGATATAGCCCTCCACTGAACAGGGCAAAATAGGAAGCCAAAACACATCATCTGCTTGGTAAAGACCATCTGGCTGACCAGTGCCATCCCAGCAAAATAATGTCAGTTGGATCATTCCAAACACACCATGTTTAGCAATTTTTGGAAGGAACATTACCAAAATTGTAGTCATTCATCCATTCAAAAACTAATGATGTTCCCATCTTTGTCACCTTTCCCATCATGTTTCCCATAGTGTTGAGCTTTCCCCCTCGTTTCACTTCCTAAGGTTTTCCAACAATTTTCCCAACATGTTCAATTTTCCTAACATTTTCCTACTACCACGTTTAGCTTTTCATAGCTTTTCCCATCATATTTTCCAACCCTTTTTAGCTCCTCCCCTCATTTACTCAACGTTTTCCCAAAATTATCATTATTTCCGCAAGATGTTGGAGCTTTTCCCATCAAATTCCTATCATTTTTCTAGTTTTCCCATACTTGGTGGTTCTTCCCACTGAGTAAGTGGGTTAGTTCACCCCAAATATAAGTGGATGAACTGTACTTATCCCACAGTTTTCCCCAGCATTTTCCTCAAGATGTTTGGAGCTTTTCCCATCAAATTCCTATCATTTTTCTAGTTTTCCCATACTTGGTGGTTCTGCTCACTGAGTAAGTAGGTTAGTTCACCAGTTCACCCCAAATATAGGTGGATGAACTCTAATTGTCCCATAGTTTCCCCCAGCATATTTTCCTCAAGATGCTTGGAGCTTTTCCAATCAATTTCCTAATTTTTCCAGTTTTCCCATACTTGGTGGTTCTTCCCACTGAGTAAGTGGGTTAGTTCATCCCAAATATAAATGGATGAACTGTACTTATCCCATAGTTTTCCCCAGCATTTTCCTCAAGATGTTTGGGGCTTTTCCCATCAAATTCCTATCATTTTTCTAGTTTTCCCATACTTGGTGGTTCTTCCCACTGAGTAAGTGGGTTAGTTCACCCCAAATATAAATGGATGAACTCTACTTATCCCATAATTGTTCCCAGCATTTTCCTCAAAATGTTTGGAGCTTTTCCCATCAAGTTCCCATCATTTTTCTAGTTTCCCGTAGTTTTCCCATACTTGGTGGTTCTCTTCACTGAGTAAATGCCAGATATAAATGGATTACCCTCTGGTAAACTAACAGTTTGCTATTAAGAATGGCCATAGACATAGTTGATTTACCCATTAATAGCATGGTGATTTTCCATATAGTTATGTTAATTTACCAGAGGGTAAATCTTATAAATCCATAGTTAAACCCCACGATTTCCATATATTTCCATAGGATTTCTCCTATATAACCAACCAGTATCTATGTTTCCATAGGATTTTTGGCAATTCTACCATCTGGTAAATTAACAGTTGGACCCTGGGAATCACCCATTTTTGAATGGAAACTCATCTTCCAACCCCTATCTGCCAGGGTAACTCTACTTCTCCAACATTTTCCCGCCACCTCGCCGTGACGCGCGCCTCAGACTTCATCCACTCCGCGGATCGCCGTGACGGGCGACGACTTGGAGCGCGGCATGATCTGTGGCTCCGGGCGCGTGTGGCCTGGCAAAAAGGACTTTGAGCCCAAAGATCTGATCTTTTTTTTGGAGGATTTCACTGATTTAACCATGAAAACTGGTGATTTAATGGGATTTAATGGAATACTACGTGACCCCCCTGTCAGGTAAAGTTAGGTAACAGCCATAACCCACTTAGAGCAGTTATAACTAGATATAAAAAAATAACTTGAGTCTACTTGAGTTAACTTGAGTTATGTTTGTGACCCGAACTTGAGCATCTAGAGGCAAGCAATTTCTACATGCCGCAGATAATTGACAGAGCAATCAAACAGTGTGCCCTGAAATGTGTTGCTTTTGAATTATTGGAATTGTATTGTTTCTTGTTTGTTTTTATTAGACAATATTAGTTTGCCTCAAGAATGAACATGTTACATTCAGTTTAAAAAACATGTTACAATTACAATATTTTTCATAAATCCATAATCAACATGAAAATTCAATATTTAAACACATATTCAACGTTAGGTTTTTAATATTTTACATATTAGAAACGTATTTTGACATTTCATTTCTTTCAAAATACATTATATTGTATTTAATATTTTCAGATATAATATATAGTTTTTCAAATTTCAATATTAGAAAATTAACATCTATATATTTTTATCTATCAATACATATTTTTTCAGAAGGGGACACCCTGGGAGTGCGGGTTTTCACTGCATTCTAGAACCACTGACACTGCACATGTGCCGTGGTTCTCTCACTGCTTTGCAACCATTGGCAATTTCTGTAATTTCTGTTTGGTTTTTCTGCATTGGCTAAACAAAACCAAAAACCAAAAACGCCCCTGCCGCCGACCCCGGAACAAAAGACCAGGAAAACGCGTTCTTGTCCCTTTAGCATTTGTTTTTTTAATATTATGTTTCAAATTTTGGAACACAAAAAATCACCGGAAACCTGATCGTTTTGATGGGAAGACCTCGGACAGAAATATTTAACGGGCATAAACCATGATGTCTTGGGTAAATACATGTAAATTGGCGGTACAGTAAGCAAAACCACAATTTAATCACAACGAACCCTATTATACCCCCATTGTTGTATAAATAGTCTCATTTAGATTTTCTCATATCCAACCAATTTATGTGGGAACACTCCCAAGATTTTCTCATACCCTGTTTTATGAGAACACGCTCAACAATTGTTAATATAATTTTTCTTTATGCACCTCCCTGTTGTCAGGATGTCAGTTACAAAAAGTGCTGACGCACACCCCCAATGGGGGTCGGTTGATCACCAAGGTCACAATTAATGAAACAAGATTGATATAAATATTGTTCAGTGCTTCGCACCTCAGGCCTTCTCCTCCTTTTTAGATATATATATATATATATTTATATTTATATTTATTACATTTATTTGATAGATATTTTTTAAGAGTTGATAAACATATTTTTTGATATAGACTTATAGACTTAAGAAATAGCAAGAACCCTACATATGCACACACACACACACACCACCCACCAAACCTCTTTACCCTCCTGTCAACAGTTCCTCGGCGAGCTCAACCAGAGTTTGGGTCTGGAGCCTTTCAGAATTAATCAAAATAACATAAACCCTCCCATTTACCCGCTTTTTGTGGCAAGGCGCAGTATTGCTCGTGGCAAGGTGCAGCGACTAGCTACAGCGCACAGTATGCATAGCATTTTTTGGGGGGCACTAATGGTTTGAACAAGGTGTATGTAACCTGTATCTATTTTTCAGGCCAAGTGTCTTTGCTATTACTAGGTGCTCTTTGTGCAGTTTCTTTATGCCTATTGCCACCCGTCATTTTGCACAATCCCTTTTACACAGTGGTCTAGGTGGGCAAGGCGCAGTATTCTTAGTGGCAAGGCGCAGCAACTAGCTAAAGCGCACAGTATGCATAGCATTCATATTTTTTTTGTACTAATGGTTTGAACATGTTGTATCTAGTTTTCAGGCCAAGTGTTTTTGCTATTACTAGGTGCTCTTTGTGCAGTTTCTTTATGCCTATTGCCACCCATCATTGCAAAATCCCTTTTACACGGTGATCTAGGTGTCCAGGTGTCCAAGTTTGTCCAAAGTCTTGTCCTTTCCCTGTAAGGAATTCTATACTTGCAATGATCCACATCAAAGTCTGGGTGCTGCAGAAGCGCCGTATGAAATTGTGCTGCATAAGCGCCATGTGAAACGGTGCTGCATAAGTGCTGTATGAACTTAGTATTTGTGTGGTGTTTCTATTCCCACGTCCCCCCTCATGCGATATCATGCCCCTACAAAATGACATGTTTCCTTCCAAGGGTATGTTTGTTTTGAATACTGCATTTGTTGGCAGGCAGTTGGATTTCTTAAGCCTCCCACCGTGTAAAAAACGATATGGGAAAATACGATGGCCAGACTTGCTTGGCCGTCGTATTTTCCCATGTTGGTGTTCTTCTGAATTTTTCAGATTGTTTCTGAAAATCTGAAATTTTCAGATTTTTTCTGAAAATCTGAAATTTTCAGATTTTTTCTGAAAATCTGAAAATTTTCAGAATTGTTCTGAGAATCTGAAAATTTTAAGAATTTTTCTGAATTTTTCAGATGTTTTCTGAAAATGTTGTATTATATTTAAATTTAAATTTGAAAAAAAATCTGAAATTTTCAGAATTTTTCTGAATTTTTCAGATTTTTTCTGAAAATCTGAAAATTTCAGAATTTTTCGGATTTTTTCTGAAAATCTGAAATTTTTAGAATTTTTCTGATTTTTTCAGATTTTCCTGAAAATCTGAATTTTTCAGATGTTTCCAGATTTTGTTGTTTTTTTTGTTTCTTGTTTTTTGGTTTCTTGTTTTCTGGTTCATGATGGTGGCCCCTCTTTGCCAGTTCTCCCACTTTAGTGGTTGCAAACTTGCTTTTGGTTCATTTTATTATTTGCTTTAGGCCTGTGGTTCCATTAGCAAACAATGTAAACAACTATGGCAAAATGCAGGTGCCACTGGATATGTAATTTCTCAAAAACGGTGTTGAACAAATGCAAAAACATAGGCAGCCAATGCATGTGTGGAACTGATTTTGATAATGACATTCTTGGCTCAAACCCTTAGGTATGCACATGTTCAAACATTTTGAAAGACAAGTGCATGTCTCTTATAAAATGGTAGAGCCCGGTAGGGTATCCCATTGAAGTAGGGCATGCCTTAGTCTACTTCTATGTCAAAAATGAACCCTCTTGCACATGTAATGCCCTTCTCACACTATATTTTCTTAAATGCAGAACACATGGTACATGTAAGCACGTCAAATATGTCCGTCACAATTGCACATCGTTTTTCTGAATGCATAATGTGATCTTTTTGCAAGACAACGAACCATATTTTGGGAATAACACCCTTTGGTGTAGGCAGCCCCCCTCTTGAAAAATATTGTAGTTTGAAGAATGTGCATATTTAAATCTTCAATCAACCATTTTTTGAACATATGGTAGTGCTCACAGTTTCAAACATATTGCACTTTTGAAAGGGGTGCTCTATGTCAATAATTTCGCATATACATGCAGAAATATTGACTCTTCTAAAAGGGGTACTGCTCCTTTGAAAGGAGGGTTAGGGTTAGACATCTGGAAATGCACATTGCACTCCTTCAAAGGGCATGGTGCAACTTTTCAAGGAATACTTCATATTTTCTTTGGATTATGTCCCTGCAAAAACACCCCAAAGGACGGTTGCTCTTATTCAGAAGGATATTTTGTTTTGAATACTGCATTTGTTGGCAGGAATTGGGATGTTGTAATTATGTTGAAGTCATCTAGCATATTATGCAGAAATGTATTTGTTGAAGGGACACTGTAGTAGCATTTATCCAAGGTAGAGTGAACACCTGGACACTTCTTCAAGCAATGCATGCTCCCTAGTGGACATGAGCACAGCTTCATATGTAGCTTAAGCTTTAATGTGGTTACAGTTTTGATAACAACAAAAAACAGAAGGGTATGTTTGTTTTGAATACTGCATTTGTTGGCAGGCATGGGGATGTTGTAATTATATTCAAGTCATCTAGCATATTCTGCAGAAATTGTGTTTTGTTGAAAGGGCACTGTAGTAGCATTTATCTAAGGTAGAGTGAACACCTGGACACTTCTTCAAGCAATATATGCTCTCTAGTGGACATGAGCGCAGCTTTATCTGTAGTTTAAGCTTTAATGTGATTACAAATTTAAAAAAACAATAAACAGAAGGGTATGTTTGTTTTGAATACTGCATTTGTTGGCAGGCATGGGGATGTTGTAATTATGTTGAAGTCATCTAGCATATGCTGCAGAAATTGTGGCTTGTTGAAGGGACCCTGTAGTAGCATGTATCTAAGGTAGAGTGAGCACCTGGACACTTCTTCAAGCAATATATGCTCTCTAGTGGACATGAGCGCAGCTTTATCTGTAGTTTAAGCTTTAATGTGATTACAAATTTAAAAAAACAATAAACAGAAGGGTATGTTTGTTTTGAATACTGCATTTGTTGGCAGGCATGGGGATGTTGTAATTATGTTGAAGTCATCTAGCATATGCTGCAGAAATTGTGGCTTGTTGAAGGGACCCTGTAGTAGCATGTATCTAAGGTAGAGTGAGCACCTGGACACTTCTTCAAGCAATATATGCTCTCTAGTGGACATGAACATAGCTTCATCTGCGGCTGAAGCTTCAATGTGATTACATTGTCCTGCTCTTTTTTACTTGTTGTTTTTTTGTTTTCTTTATGTCAATATTTTCCCTTTTAAAATATGAAACATATTTCTTTGCTAAATTCAATTTGTTATTTCAAAAAAAACGTATCATGACATATGAAAATTTCTCCTCCAAACTAAATTGTTCAATTTGTTATTGACGTTTGTTGTAAGATAATTCTAAGCAAATATTATTTTGAACTTTAATTTCAAAACAAATGTTGTTGTTTTGAAATACTTATTTATTTTGATTTTTTTTTTATGTATGTTTTTGAAAAATACTATGACAGCTTTAATTTTCAGGTTAGCACATTAAATATTGAATGCGTTTTTTTTCATTGGCATCATTTTTAGTTGTTAAATACAATTTCCCTATCATTTCAGATTGTTTCTGAAAATCTGAAATTTTCAGATTTTTTCTGAAAATCTGAAATTTTCAGAATTTTTCCGATTTTTTCTGAAAATCTGAAAATTTTCAGAATTGTTCTGAGAATCTGAAAATTTTAAGAATTTTTCTGAATTTTTCAGATGTTTTCTGAAAATGTTGTATTATATTTAAATTTAAATTTGAAAAAAAATCTGAAATTTTCAGAATTTTTCTGAATTTTTCAGATTTTTTCTGAAAATCTGAAAATTTCAGAATTTTTCGGATTTTTTCTGAAAATCTGAAATTTTTAGAATTTTTCTGATTTTTTCAGATTTTCCTGAAAATCTGAATTTTTCAGATGTTTCCAGATTTTGTTGTTTTTTTTGTTTCTTGTTTTTTGGTTTCTTGTTTTCTGGTTCATGATGGTGGCCCCTCTTTGCCAGTTCTCCCACTTTAGTGGTTGCAAACTTGCTTTTGGTTCATTTTATTATTTGCTTTAGGCCTGTGGTTCCATTAGCAAACAATGTAAACAACTATGGCAAAATGCAGGTGCCACTGGATATGTAATTTCTCAAAAACGGTGTTGAACAAATGCAAAAACATAGGCAGCCAATGCATGTGTGGAACTGATTTTGATAATGACATTCTTGGCTCAAACCCTTAGGTATGCACATGTTCAAACATTTTGAAAGACAAGTGCATGTCTCTTATAAAATGGTAGAGCCCGGTAGGGTATCCCATTGAAGTAGGGCATGCCTTAGTCTACTTCTATGTCAAAAATGAACCCTCTTGCACATGTAATGCCCTTCTCACACTATATTTTCTTAAATGCAGAACACATGGTACATGTAAGCACGTCAAATATGTCCGTCACAATTGCACATCGTTTTTCTGAATGCATAATGTGATCTTTTTGCAAGACAACGAACCATATTTTGGGAATAACACCCTTTGGTGTAGGCAGCCCCCCTCTTGAAAAATATTGTAGTTTGAAGAATGTGCATATTTAAATCTTCAATCAACCATTTTTTGAACATATGGTAGTGCTCACAGTTTCAAACATATTGCACTTTTGAAAGGGGTGCTCTATGTCAATAATATTTTATATACATGCAGAAATATTGACTCTTCTAAAAGGGGTACTGCTCCTTTGAAAGGAGGGTTAGACATCTGGAAATGCACATTGCACTCCTTCAAAGGGCATGGTGCAACTTTTCAAGGAATACTTCATATTTTCTTTGGATTATGTCCCTGCAAAAACACCCCAAAGGACGGTTGCTCTTATTCAGAAGGATATTTTGTTTTGAATACTGCATTTGTTGGCAGGAATTGGGATGTTGTAATTATGTTGAAGTCATCTAGCATATTATGCAGAAATGTGTTTGTTGAAGGGACACTGTAGTAGCATTTATCCAAGGTAGAGTGAACACCTGGACACTTCTTCAAGCAATGCATGCTCCCTAGTGGACATGAGCACAGCTTCATATGTAGCTTAAGCTTTAATGTGGTTACAGTTTTGATAACAACAAAAAACAGAAGGGTATGTTTGTTTTGAATACTGCATTTGTTGGCAGGCATGGGGATGTTGTAATTATATTCAAGTCATCTAGCATATTCTGCAGAAATTGTGTTTTGTTGAAAGGGCACTGTAGTAGCATTTATCTAAGGTAGAGTGAACACCTGGACACTTCTTCAAGCAATATATGCTCTCTAGTGGACATGAGCGCAGCTTTATCTGTAGTTTAAGCTTTAATGTGATTACAAATTTAAAAAAACAATAAACAGAAGGGTATGTTTGTTTTGAATACTGCATTTGTTGGCAGGCATGGGGATGTTGTAATTATGTTGAAGTCATCTAGCATATGCTGCAGAAATTGTGGCTTGTTGAAGGGACCCTGTAGTAGCATGTATCTAAGGTAGAGTGAGCACCTGGACACTTCTTCAAGCAATATATGCTCTCTAGTGGACATGAACATAGTTTCATCTGCGGCTTAAGTTTCAATGTGATTACATTGTCCTGCTCTTCTTTTTGTACTTGTTGTTGCTTTTTTTGGGTTTTGTTTATGTCAATATTTTCCTTTAAAATATGAAACATATTTCTTTGCTAAATTCAATTTGTTATTTCAAAAAAACGTATCATGACATATGAAAATTTCTCCTCCAAACTAAATTGTTCAATTTGTTATTGACGTTTGTTGTAAGATAATTCTAAGCAAATATTATTTTGAACTTTAATTTCAAAACAAATGTTGTTGTTTTGAAATACTTATTTATTTTGATTTTTTTTTATGTATGTTTTTGAAAAATACTATGACAGCTTTAATTTTCAGGTTAGCACATTAAATATTGAATGCGTTTTTTTTCATTGGCATCATTTTTAGTTGTTAAATACAATTTCCCTATCATTTCACAGAAAATACAAACGAAGAAAAAAGATATGAGCACGCTTTTTTTTGCCACTTGTCTTTAACTGATCACATGTCCATGCTTGGCAATCTAAATCAAATGTATAGAAAACTTATCTTGACTTATGTTGAATTATGTTGACTTATGTTGATTATGCTAAAGTTAGACATTTTTAGTAAACATCATAAATAACATAATCCAACTTAATCATCATAAAATCGGATGATAAGTATCATAACTTTAAAACACAAGTGATGGAGTTACGATTGTATCTTAGCTGAGTTGTGAGCCTAGTTATAACTGGATAGAACCTAGGTTTTAAAGGGGGGTTGACGCAGTATCATGGTGATTTAATGGGATATATATAGTGGTGATTTAATGGGATTTGGTTGACTTAAGTTGCATAGATGGTGATTTAACCATGAAAAATGGTGAGTTAATGATATATTTTGACGGGATTGAATGGGGTGAAGAATTTGGCGAACAAGATCGAAAGATCTATGGTAAGATCTCTACGCAATCTTGAGTGAACGGAGAATAACATGTACCCTCTGGCTATTCAACATACCGATGGATGGAACAATACCGTTTTTAAACGATAATTAATTTATCAATGGCCATTGTCCATAGCAAATTATACTACTTACAGGAGGGTATAACGATTAATTTTCTAAATCATCAAATTTTCGATGCACTGTGCATCTACAAGATCCGTCCGCACGCGTGGAACGTCTGCTCTACTCCGGGGTCCGTTCCGGCAGTCAATTTTCGGGGGAAACTGACTTCAGCCTGAACATGTTTTTGCACATTTCGATTGGCAAAAGATACTTATCTGGTGGATGTTTTCAGCACCTTTGAATGACTTCAAATGTGTGTGCACACATACATGTACACAGCATGTTTCTCAACCGATCACCGCATCTCAACTCACAACCACTCAAACGATCAATGAAACTCAGAAGTTATAACCTGTCATAACTAAGATCGCATTCCCAATAATGTGGCTGAAACAATGCCATAAACCATCCATGACTGGGAATGGTCTTTATATACCACCCATAAACATGGTGATGACTGGGGGTAAACATGGCATTGTTTTAACCACATTAAAACAAAATCGAAGTCACACTGTCATCATGTCATCCAAAAGAACGATCCAATCCCTTGCCTGGTTTGAATGACAAGTGCCTAAAGAGATCCTCCAGGACCTGCACAGGCTGTGAAATAAGGGCGAAACCCGGGAGGAAAATAAGTGGCTCACCAATATAGATCAATATATATATATCGTATGTTTATGGGGAATACATGGGAATATAAGTACTAATAGGGTTCAGTAACAAACTTAAAATTCTTGAAACTTTCATGGGGACTACCCTCCGGTGTCATCAAACGTGGCTGGCTGCGAAATCCCCGCATTAAATGGAGGTTTATATAGCTGGGCAACTCGCCGAACTTAAATGGGGAATCTTCCAGCAAGCCACGTTTGATTGCGGGAGAAAAACACGGTTCGCAAGTTTGGCTCCCTGAAACTAAGAAAGGATAAGACATAAAGAATTTTAGCACCAAGACGGGGGTTAAAAGCCTAATACACATGGACTCTGTACTGACCACTCGATAAGAGCGGCGACATGGGTTCAAGTCTTTCAGGTTTTATACACCCCCATGTTTGATGCTAATATTTCATTGGTATTCATTGGTGTCAATGACATCGCCGTTACTTCCCCCAAAAAGGAACAGCTTCTTCCTTGTGGCGTGCTGCCATTCTGCCGGAGGTCACTGGATTTATTAAATAGTCTATATATATATATATTAGATAATTATTAGATGTACTGCATTAAAACACTATTAATCACACATGTCTATATATATATATATTTATTTATTCTAATATTAATGTCATGCAGCCATGGCTTTCAACCAGGTACCATCTGCTACAAATATCCAACGAATCCAAGGTTTGAAATGGCTGCCACCCGACATGTCAGACTTCCCCGCACCGTGTGCAAATGCGAGAACTCGTCGGCAGTGAACTTGCGCAATGTCACGATGTCCTGCGGGAT